CTATCTATCTATCTATCTATCTATCTATCTATCTATCTATCTATCTATCTATCTATCTATCTATCTATCTATCTATCTATCTATCTATCCTATTCTATCGTTCTGTCTATCTAAGAACATCTTAAGTGATTTGTCTGCCATAAGTAAGGGCGATCTGGTTTGTTTGTTGATCTAAAAATTGATTTAGAAACCCCCTTAGGTATAGTGAGATAAAGCCAACTGTGAGGTCAAAGGGGTAAGTTATGTTCCCTCAACTACGACATTAATTGTTTCTACACACAATTAGGCCTAGGCCCTGTCAACTGCGATTGCCAGAAGAACTTGAAAAATGTTCAAGGCATGTTGAATGGGCGTTCAGTCATGTAGGATAGTCCAGTTTTGAAGATATATTCTGTGAATGACTGAAGACAGAGGAACCATCCTGAAGCTACCGTTCCAGTCATTGCTCATTCAGGTTTCCCCTGCTCAAATGGCATGTCCAAGCAGTATTTCACTTTGGACACTTTGTTGTCAAGTGAATCATGTGACGAGGCTTCCTGCATTTCAAGTCAAGGAGTTCTTCAAATGTTACATATGAAAGCTGTCTGCTTGTATTTATATTATCAATATATTTATTGTGCTTTGATTTATGTTTATACAACAGTAAGTCAATGACATATATGTGTCTTCATACGTATGTCGACTGACATGGTTCAGTGGTAATCAGTCATTTCTTTCATGTGAGAGATTCCGATTGTACATAATTGTACATAATTAGTATAAGCATATAAGCATGACGACATGCGTGGCGCCGTTCAGTAGTTACAGACCTATTCTTTGTGTCAAGATACTTGTTTTTCGGTGCCTTTGAGGCTCTTGAATGTACTTGTGAAATAATGTGACTCATTATTACTAGTGTTGTCTATGCATGTCATTTTGTCATGAAATTGTCTGTTAAATGTAACATTCTATTCACATCATATCTGTCCTAATGCACAGCGAGAAGGATCACAATCTGAAGTAGGATTGTGTGTGACTTCAAATTCCAATTCAGTTGAATTAAGAAAGCTAACAGAATGCAAATTGCGTTTTTGATTTGAATGTAAGGAAGTAGAATTAAAATAAATACAAAAAATCATACCCATGTCTGAATATTTTTAACTAGAAAAGCAATGTTTGTCTAAGACAAAATCTATGAGTACTGGCTTAACAGGTTTGAAAAAAAAAATTCATATTCCATCTCATGAACTCAAAGGGTGCCAAATCTGCAATTCTGTATTTTGCCCAAACCTGCTCAGGATTCATGTGTCTTCATAAAGAAAGAAATAAAGCATGCATACTCTTCCACAGGCCATAAATAAGTATGCAAATCACTCAAATGCTTGTCTAGTGCATTGCTTGCACAACTTGTATATATTTAATGCATTACAGTGCTGTGATAAACCACAGGAAGTTTCCTTGCCATGTGTTTTTATTCAGGTTACTAGTTCCTAAATATGTTGACAGTTAGCAAACTTTAACTAACTTGCTTAGCAAGATTTTCTTCAAACTGCTGCTCCACCATGACCAGCAATTGACCTAAACTGGCTAACCTTGGTCCACCTACACGCTGGAGTAATCACTGATGGACAGGAATGTCTAACATGTTTGAGGTTGTCAAACCATTCCAGTTTGAAATCAAGCACAACTCCACTCACTTTTTTATTGGTGTACGGATGCCTACGTACATCTGTATGTGTTGCAGCAACAAGTTTCTCAACATTTGGTCAGCATAACAAGGGTTTTCCCAAACTCGAGTTTGCAAACCCCTGGAGGTTTATGAAGGAACTGCAGTGAGTGAAAAACTAATAATTAACTAAATCATAAAAATGTCAAATTAAAATACATTACTAATTTTAAAATAAAATTAAATCCTTACTAAAAAGATTAAAGGAGTAGTTCACCCAAAAAAAGAAAATCTACTAAAAATGTACTCATCCTCGGGCTATTCAAGGTGTACACAAGTTTGTTTCTTCATCAGGACAAGTTTAAAGAAATTCAGCATTACATCACTTGCTCACCAAAGGATGCTCTGCAGTGAATGGGTGCCGCTAGAATGAGAGTCCAAACAGCCAATAAAAACATCACAATAATCCATAAGTAATCCACACCACTCCTGTCCGTATGTTAAAATCTTGTGAAGCATAATACTGTGTGTTTGTAAGAAGCAAATCCATCATTGATGGATTTGAACAAGTGATGTAATGCTAAATTTCTCCAAATCAATTACAATGAAGAAACAATTTAATCTAAATCTTGGGTGGCCTGAGGTTGAGTACATTTTAAAAAAATATTTTTTTTTGGTGAACTATTGCTTTAAATATTTTATTTGCTAGCATGCATGTCATGTGACCATTAACCAACATCAGAGAATCAAGATTCTGCTAATGTATTTTTAAATGATTGAAATATTAACTTAAAATCTCAGGGGGACTTCAAATATTTTAGGTCAAAGGGCCGACAAAAAAGATTGGGAATGTCCCAGGAATATCCCTGGTATAACGGATCGTAAACTCTTGGATACGTCCTCTGTGCCACACCATTCCCATTAAAATCAATGGATTCAAAGTTGTTGTTTTTTTTTAGTAGCGGGAATTTACTATTGCACAAACTGAAATGCATGGGTTTTAGCTGTCAAATCATTTATAATAAATAAATAAAAATATGCAAAATAATTCTGTGGGCTGTAAAAGAGCAACATTGGATGCACCGGGTAAATAGCACTGCCTTCACAGAAAAAAAATGATCAAAGTCTAATTTACATATAAATGAGACAATGCTGTACCAGTGCAGATAGAGCCTGGTTAACCTGGACTGTGAGTTTGTGCAGATTACTGAATTCACTCCTAGCACGTAGGCGTCCTCAGTCCTGATCAGTACACCACATGGCGTGTGTATGGCTCAAGGGGAAACACACTGGATTTACACACATCTGTTAAGAACAGAACTCCCCATAAGTCTATTAACCATTCAGCAGATATGAGGTTCAACCACACATCGCTTACAAAAACAACTTGCTGTTTATTTTATCAGAAAGATGGTTGACATGAAAGTTGAAATCTCACTTAGCTTGAGTGTGGTTGTGAGAACTTGAGTATTTTTTAAGAGGTAAATATAATATATGCGAATATTTGGAAAACAGGGTCCGATGCTTGTGACATGGTGCACACTCTGGGAGTGTGGGAACCAGGACACGGATCTTGATCTGGCTTCTCTTCAGCTCAAGCAAACCTCAGTTGTCATGGTAACATATCTATACCAAACCACAGCAAATAGTTGAGCTCAGCCGTCTTGAGAGCTAGAATTACCTGTGGTTCTTTCAAAGAACTCATAAAGGTATTCAAAACATTTACTGCATCACCGATTAGATAAAATCAGTTTTCGAAGCCTTCAAACTGTCACTATCAGTCCCTTTTTATTTCTCTGAATAAGGAGGCAATGAGGTGTCAAAGTGATTTATCTGCGTTGATTTACAGTGGTGTGTGGAGAAAGTCTATTGATTCAGCCCATTGACTTAGAATGATATACGTGTATTCACAGACTTACATTCTCATTTGAATAGCTACATGAGCCATTTCAGCTTCTATACTTGCCCATTACCTGTTTGTCTAGCTAGCATTTTCTGGTCATGCTCCCGTGAGAATTGCCAGTTATGTATTTCAAGGTAATGCATGTCAATCATCAGTTTCCAAATGGCACTGTAATAAACTGGTATGACTGAAACGAATATGCTTTGTCTTACTTGCATGAATTTCATAAAAACCTGTCACAAATCTAGAAATAATAAATAATACAATTAAAAAAAAATTATATAATAAATAAATAATATATATTTTAGTGAATTATATTTTTACAGTATATTATTATAATCATATTGCTTTATTAATAGTTAATTGTATTAAAATTTTATTTATTGTATACTGTATTTACTCAGTGCAACTCATAACATTCAAGTGAAAGATATAACACCAACATGTCAGAAATAAATAAATAAATTAAATAAATAAAGATCACTGATTTGGAAAAAGGATCACCCCCCTCCTAAAAATGACTTGTAAATCAATCAGGTGTAGCTAATCACCTTCTCACACAAAGCCATTTGACATTCAACTGTGATCAGCTGTGGTCATTTTGATGAGCTCAGCATGAAAGGAGCTTTCCTGGAGGATTTCAGTCCTTGGTAGTGCAAGTGAAGCAAACTATCAACTATGAGTGGCAAAATACAGTCAGATTCTTGAGGAAAATATGTCCTTAAATATGTCCTTGCATGGCCTAGTCAGAGCCCAGACTTAGGCCATGTCCACAGGTGAGTTTTTCCTTCTTCTGTTTTAAAAAAAATCTGTCCACATGAAAACGCAAACGCATGCTATGAAGCACTGTCAAGAGCATGCCAAACCAACAGGTGGCGATATAATCTCAACCGTAAAGCCATGTTGGCCAATCAGAAGCCTGAAAAAGTTTCCAGTTGGCGGAGATAACAGCGCAGGCTCTGACATCACAAGCCAAAAAAAAAACTTTAGTTTATTGAAAATCTTCACCCTGGCAGACGTTTTCAAAAATGTTCGGTTTCAGTGAACTGGTGCTGCGTTTGCATGTGGACGAACGGCCAAACCGCGTAGAAAAAGCTGTGGTTTTAAAAATAACCGCGTTCGCGTGGACAGGGTCTTAAAGGTGGTGTAAATGACCATTAAATCCCCAATTCATTGAAGTGGGTCGACACCTTTAACCAGGCCACAGCGCAAAAGACTGCCGTTACCGTCTGTCCTGTGACACCTGTAGAGGTAGACATCCAACGTGTCTACATGATGAAAACTATACAAAGAAAGTC